ATAGAATTTATACTAGTTATTCGTAAAACTTATAATTCTAAAATATTTTATTAGATTTAATATAATTTTCTATATTTGAAACTATAAAAACTATAAAACTACAAAACTATACTACAGTTAATGCTCTGATTATATTTAAATACATTACATTACAAGACTAAAATACCTATAAATATATTTTAAGTAAAAAAGGCCCCTATTTTTTTAACTTAGAATTGTAAGGCTAATTATAAGGTATATAAGAGATAATTTTATATAATTAAAAAGAGCTAAATTAACTTTTTAAAATGCCCTACTTTTTATTCCTAGAAGTTATTATATTAAAAAGTTCTAAGTAATTAAAAATTCGCCTCGCTTTACTTACTTTTTATTTTAAGATATAACTTTAAAGCTTAATATCTCGCTTAATATCTCGCTTAATATTTTTATTTTAAGGTTAATTTTTAAAGATTTAAAATCACGTGATTTTTAGCTTTATTTTAATATATAGTATGCTATATAAGCATTTATTTATAAAATATCTAGCGCGCGGCCCCTATTTCTAGTAATAGTATAACTATTATAAGATAAGTCTTAAATTATTATTAATTAATAAAAGTCTTATATATTAAGTAAAAATTTTTATTTAATTATCTTATAATAAATAATAGCTAGAGAATAATTATTAGAAAATCTCTTAGCGCGCTATAATAGGTATCTAAGTACTTAAGTAAACGTTGTTAGTATTTCTAGATATGAATTTGGAGTCTCCTATTAGAAGGCCAGATACACAAGACTCCTACTAAACACTAACCCGTACCTAGTAGTTTGCTATATATGTAGCTACCTGATACTTGATAGCGTATAGCAAGCACGTTGAATATCTAGTAGACTTACGGGAAATTGACAGATTCGGTCCGACCTGTACCAATTTAAACTTTCGCAGCGTAAAGGACATGAATGCTTAGTCCTTGCCTCGAGGGCACGCACCGACCATGCTCGGACGGACACCTTCATTTAGTCGTGCTGCGGAACAATGTTCATTCTCCCAGGATCGTAGGAATACCAGACCCTCCGCGCTCGAGGGCCGTATGATGGCCCGTATCTGACTGGCAGACCAGGCTTTAGTGGATTTGACGAGACGCAACTACCAGACCGGTCCGATTTTGGCCGGCCATTGGTTACCTGCGAAAATCTGGCGGGCCAGACGAGGTACACTGTCTTGCGCACTGTACGTTCCGGGTGCATCCACACAGCACTGTGCGCGGCTCCGCCACCTGTCCTCCATATCAGCTTGCACTGTATCCCACAGTAGTTTGCCCTGGGACGGTTGAAAAAAAAAAAACCTGGACCTGTGAGCAACAATTTCCTTCCTGCCTTCATCTCCGCAGTGGCTAGGTACTTTCGAGCAATGCGCAACACACTTATTTTCGCTGGTAATTCGTGTCCAGTCCTCACTGGTCAAATATGCGAGAACCTTGGCATGACTCCCGCCGATGCGGAACTAACACAATTCTCCAATGTGAGATTCCCATAGCTCTTGCTTTTCCCGTCCACTGTATGGCTTCCCTATACACGTGCCGATGCCGGCTAACACGTTCAAGGGCGAGACAAGTGTCAGAATCTTGACAAGCGTGCGAGAGAAGGACGTGTTCGTGGTTCAATCAGGAAGCTCGAAAATCAATGATTCCATCATGGAATTACTTATCATGATCTCAGCTTGTAAAGGCGGATCCGCGAACAAAATCACAGGTTGGTCAAGCCTCCCGAGACTCACTGGCGCCCAGACTCATTAATATTAGCCGTTCTTCCATACTTTCCATATAGCCGGCAATCGAAAAAGAAAGCTCATCGTGGCGCCATCACCGCCCGAATGCTCGCCAACTTGCTTGGCGTGGCTGGAGTTAAACATGTGATTACTGTGGATTTACATGCTTCACAAATGCAAGGGTTTTTCAAGTGCCCAGTGGACAATCTTCATGCCGAACCTATAATTGCGAAATGGATTCGACGCAACGTTGATAACTGGCGAGAAGCAGTCGTGGTGTCGAAGAATGCCGGAGGAACAAAGCGAGTGACTTCACTCGCTGATGCCTTGAAGCTCAATTTCGGAATGGTAACGACCGACCGAAGAAGAGGCACCAATATGACAGCAAGCATGATCATGAACCATCTTGATGGGCTTGATAGGCAGCCTGCACTTGAAACCTCGGCGGGGAGCGACATGTCCCCTCCTGATGAAGACGGCATGGCACGATACAAATCCACACAAAAGCCTCGGACGCCACTGGCTGATTCCACTGGCTCTCCCACCCGCCATGGTGAATTGAGGATGAAACCACCGGAGGGGCAGAAGAAGGCATCTAGTGATGGCCGCTCACTAGCCTCTCGCAGTACCCCTGATTTATCCCTGAACCAGGAGCAGGTTTTTGACGACCGCCGAGCTCACGAAGTCATACATGGCCGTTTAATCAGAGGTCATGTTGTAGAAGACGACTTCAATTCTCCTGCCGTATCGACTGCCGGGAATAGTTTACAGGAGGAGGATCCCATGACAATGTCCCGCGCTTCCTCCTTTTTCGTCCCAGAAGGACAAATTCTAGGCGGTGCCGGCGACCCAGCTGCAAGTTCCGACGAGGAGGACAACGCGTTTCAAGACACTAAATTCGAACACATGATTACCTTGGTGGGCAATGTGAGGAACCGCACAGTGTTTATCGTAGACGATATGATAGACAAACCGGGCTCTTGGATTGCCGCAGCTGAGACGGTAGTGAAGAAAGGAGGGGCTAAAAAGGTCTTCTGTATCGCCACGCATGGTGTTTTTGGCGCAGACTGTCTTGAACAACTCCAAGGATGCGAGTGCATCGATACGATACTTGTCACAAACAGCTTCCCTATTAATCAGGATCGGGCGAGGAATATCAACAAGCTCGTCGTCCTGGACTTGTCCTTCCTCTTGTCGGAAGCTATTCGGCGTAATCATTACGGCGAGTCAATTTCACCACTCTTCCAACACACCGGGGACTGAGGGCTCCTCAAATTCTCTTGTACCAGTGTACTCTCGCTGGCGTTCTCGAATTCTTTGCCCTGATTTCGAATATGTTGCTCTACTCTTTCAGCGCGGCGTTCCCGATATGGCTTGTTTGTTTTAGTTACAAGTTGCACAGGCGATTCTTCATGATGTTATGATCATACATTTTATGACGTCCCCCCATCTGGAGGGCATGACACTATTTTCCAGATTACTTCGACTCCTCCGCCCTCACCTGAGCTTGAGTTTCCTTCGATCAAAGGCACTCCGTGACATGCCCTGATGACAAATAATTTGTCATTGTTGACACAACCAGCGGTGCCATCACAAGTGATGGCAAGGATCTAATTCAACCTAGAATGGATTCTTAACGGAACGCTGGTAGATTGGACTTCATTGATTGTAGAAGGCCCCAAGCTCGGATCATTTCTGATTCTCGCCTTAACGGCTATGAGCTTGGAGCAAGAGAAACTTTCGAACATGTAAATTAAGATGCTCTATAAATCGAATGATTGCGGTCGAGTCCTGTTGCCCATTCCAAATGACCAGTGGACAGGCAAGCAGCTATCAACAATAAATGATATTGCCCAAGTTGGACGTGAGCACACGGAAATTTGGTCAAGTTCTGGAGACCCTAGCTATAGAACGCTCAATGCCCAATCCATATTTGTGTTCTATTACTCTAATTCATAACCCGTTTAGCCCATTGTCCTAGGTTCTTTCTTCCTTCCTATGGAAAATGAGAGCCGATGCCTGGCGAGAAGGAGAGGAAGCTAATGTCAGTATTTATCACTTAAGCCAACTGCGACGTGGGCTTACTTGGTGATTGGGGAACACAAGAGTGTCAGCGACAACGAGGTTTTCGCGGCGTGTGGCTATGAAAACAACCACCTCTGCAATGTCATCTGGTGTAAGAGGCTCGCAGCCACTGCCATGACAAAGTTAAGTGTGAGAGACTCTTTCGTCGTAGATAAGGAGGTACAACTCACGCATATACTGCATCGGCTTTCGCCTTGTCACCATCAAACCTGACAAGTGAAAACTCCTGCCAAAGACTTTTGATGAGTGACGAAAGGTTCCAAGTATTTCCACAATACGCAAGGACTTACCGTTTCGACCTGGCCGGGATCTATCTCGATAACTCTGATGCGAGTCGCGATAAGCTCCTTTCGTAAGCTCTCGGTAAAGCTACGAACTGCAGCCTTGGTCGCGCAGTAAATGGAGCCTCCAGGATACGGTTCACGTCCTGCAATGGACCCTACGTTGATGATATCGCCCTGTCCACCATTGGCACGCTGTTGAAATATCGGTAGTATGGCTTGAGTCATATTGATCAACCCTGTGACATTGGTTGCAAACATGACATTTACATCCTGTTCTTTTATGTCAGGGGCACGTGCGACACCTTTTACAAGGCCGCTACAAAGATACTCGCAATTAGCCATTCGTCCAACAGAAACCCAGTATATATGGGGTTTACGTTTGTATGCCTTATTTGTGGTAATGGTGATGCATGAAAATACGTTCCATAGGACAACTAGTTGATGAAGGGGTGACCAAGGTCATAGGTCACTTACGCATTGTTGACGAGAATATTGATATCCCGCCATCCTTCAGGCAGATTTGCGACGAAGCCGCGGACATCCTCGGGATTACTAACATCAAGCTTCACAGGGAGTACTTTGACGCCCTGGCCGACCTCTTGCGTGATTTGAGAGGCCAGTTCATTCAGTGAGTCAATGCGACGAGCCGTAAGGATGATGCGCAAATTGTCTCGGCTAGTGCGAGCGAATTCTAAAGCAGTAGATCGCCCAATGCCTGACGAGGCGCCTGTAACGAGTACTGTCTTTCCAGCCAGACGCTTAGCAGCAGCGGAAGCCATTATTCGAACCGAGAGTACGCGGTAGTTATTCGGATGCTGGTTTAGATAAACGTTCGACGGCACACGTGCTGATAAGCAGACAATTCCTGTGGATAGTAGATTGGGTTTACAAACGATGGAAAGCAAAGGACTCATTTATTTTAAATATGTGGCGGGTCGCCAACGTATGGGGGAAGCGAGGTAAGTAAGGTAGCCGAGGTTGTCTTCGACACCACTCTGGCTGGTTGTCTACTAAAGTACCTGCTTAAGTACCTACCTAGGTAAATAACTACTATAGCGCGTTAAGGGGTTTTCTAGTAATTATTCTTTAATTATTATTTATTATAAGATAATTAAATAGAATTTTTTACTTAATATATAATACTTTTATTAATTAATAATAATTTAAGACTTATTTTATTATATATAATAATTAAAGAATAATTCTTAAAA